GGTGGCGCCCAGTGGGGGGAAGTGAACACCACCCGTTTCCTCCTCGCTGGCAGTTTGTTCATCAGCGCGGAGGAGGAGTACATCCCGGACGCGGAGAGCGTGCGCCAGCAGAGGGAGCTGCACCACCAGCCTCAGACCTGCACCCTCTCCCAGTGTTTCCAGCTCTACACCAAAGAGGAGCAGGTGAGAGGCAGACCTGGGCCGCCTTCCGTGTGTGTGTGTCTGTGTGTGTGTGTGTGTGTGTGTGTGTGTGTGTGTGTGTGTCCTCCTGGGATCTTTCTCTGGCCATGCACACACACACCCCCAAGGGGCAGAGGGGCCCTCGTGCACTCGGAGGGCGGCCCCTCCCTGACGCCTGAAGGGGAAGGCCCCCGGGGCGCTTCTGCGCCACAAACCCGTGCAAAGGCCTAAGTGGGGAAGGGAGCACGGCCCCTCAGCTCTCTGACCCGGGGAAGGATCCGTGGGAAGGGCCCGAGGCTCCGAGCAGTTCCGTCTTCCACCGGGGCCCCTCGGCTGTTCCTCGCCCACCTGTGTGCCCTTGCCTTGCCTCTAGCTGGCTCCGGACGACGCCTGGCGCTGCCCGCACTGCAAGCAGCTGCAGCAGGGGAGCATCACCTTGAGCCTCTGGACCTTGCCGGACGTCCTCATCGTCCACTTGAAGCGCTTCCGGCAGGTGAGGGGCAGGCGGCCTGGGCAGGAGGGGCCCTGGAGTAGGACCGGGGGCTCCCCTTGGCTCGGGGGTCCAGCCCCCTCCCTGCCCCCCCTCACCCAGCCATCACAAGGGACCCGTCCGGCTTTGTTGCCTTGTGGAAGCCGTTGGGAGGCGGAGGTGGGAAGGGGGCAGAGGGTCCACTCCGCTGGCCGGCCAGTAGCCTTTGAATGAGGGGGGGGCTGAACCTTCTTGGCTCCTCAGGCACCTCCCGTTCCCCTCTTGGCTCTGTCGGAGCCGTGAAGGCCTGGCTGAGGGGGGGGAGCTGGCAGCGCCGAAAGAGGGAGGGAAGGAGGGAGGGAGAGTGACCGCGCTGTGTTCTGCTGTGAGATCTGGCCAGGGTGTCTAGCCACAGCCAGAGTTTTCTGCTCTTCTTCTTCCTCCTCCTCCTCCTCCTCTCCCCTCAGGAAGGTGACCGGAGAGTGAAGCTTCAGAACATGGTGAAATTCCCTCTGGTGGGGCTGGACATGACCCCCCACGTGGTCAAGCGCAGCCAGAGCAGCTGGAGCCTGCCTTCCCACTGGTCCCCCTGGCGGCGCCCCTACGGCCTGGGGAGGGACCCGGAGGACTTTGTCTACGACTTGTACGCCGTCTGCAACCACCACGGCACCATGCAGGGAGGGCATTACACAGGTAAGGAAGGGACCGGGTGGCCCGCCGCGTGGCGCCTGGCCTGGGCTCACCTGAGGCGCGCTGGCGTCTCTGCGCTTCGTGGCCGGCATCCGCCTTCAGGGCCGGCTCCGTTCCTCCCCTGCTGACAAGAACGCTGAGGAGGGGCGGCAGATCAGCGCTGGGCTTGCCTTTGGCTTGCTGAGGGAGCACCTGCAGAAGGGCCGCCCCCCCCCCCAGTGCCGCTGTTAAAGGGCCTTTAGACGGGGGAGAGGGGGTCAAAACGCCAGGCACCGAGGGAAGAAACAATGAAAACGGATGGAACGAAGTGTAATGCTAGTCCTGAAGGTGATGGGTGCACATGGGTAACTGTATTGTATTGTACTGTATTGCTTTGTATTTTATATAGGGTTTTTTGTGTGTGTAGTAGTAGGTTTATTTTGTATTAATAAAATTAAAAAAAATTTAAAAAAATGCCGGGCAGGTCGGTCTATCGCCAGCCCTCTGGGTTTTGGGGAGAGAGCAGAGAGGCAGAAGGAGGTCTCCCTGGCTCTGTCTTCTGTTTTGAAGAATTGTAAATGGGCCCAGGGCTTCCCTCTGATCAACAGGGAGGACTGTCTTTAAATCTAGAAGATTTAAAATTTAGGGGTGGGGGGGATTCATTTTGATTGGCAAATGGTTGTCTCTGTTGCATCCGTTCAGCAAAGTCAGCATTTTCTCTTGCAGTCGTTTGGCTCTTCGTTCCCCTCATTCTTCCACTAAACTCGAAATCCTGCTCACAGGGTGTTTTCAGCATGTGGCAGAGATGGATGGCCCTTTGCCGTTGGGTCATGGCCTCCCTCGCAGGGCTAGTTTTGGCTCTGAGACGGGGAGGGCATCTGGGCTCGTTGCCGGCTGGGGCTTCCGGGAGGCGGTTGGGTTTGGCCGAGGGGCCGTCGGAGGGCTGGGAGCCTTCCTGGAGGGCCAGGCGCCCTCCTTACAGCAATGGGAAAGCAAGCCTGTTTGGGGGGGGGAGGCGGTTGCCCCTGCGGAGGGCAGGTCCTGCAGGGCAGGTCCGGTGGTCAGAGCAGTCCGGCCTCCTCTTGCAGCGTACTGCAAGAACTCCATCGACGGCCTCTGGTACTGCTTTGATGACAGCAGCGTGCAGCAGCTTCCGGAGAACGAAGTGTGCAAGCAGACGGCCTACATCCTCTTCTACCAGAGGCGGACGGCCATTCCCTCCTGGTCGGCCAACAGCTCTGTGGCAGGTGAAGGCCCCGGCGGAGGTGCAGGCTGGCATGGGCTTCGGGGGGGTGGGCGGTGAGGGGGGGGCTCCTGTCCACAAGGATGCCTCGCTGCATGCGGCAGTCCCAGATCTGCAGAGGCGTCTCTGTCTCTCTCTTCCGCCCCCCGGAATCCCGGTGCCCTCCTGCTGGAGCGGCTGCCTGAGCTGGTGCCGCCCCCCTGACGTTTGACCCCCCCCGGGGGGGCCCTTCTCTCGCCTTCCTTCTGCAGGCTCCACCAGCTCTTCCCTGTGCGAGCACTGGGTGAGTCGCCTCCCGGGGAGCAAGCAGCCCAGCATCGCTTCGGCTGCCTCCTCCAGGCGCACCTCCTTGGCGTCCCTCTCGGAGTCGGTGGAGATGATGGGGGAAAGGAGCGAAGATGACGGTGGGTACGGGAGCTTGGGGTGGGCGTGGGGGCGGTGGGAGATGGCAGGACTGGCAGGCCGGTTGGGAAGAAGTTAAAACTTCTGTCGCTCTCCTGAGGTGACCACTGGCAGGAAGGTGCAACAGATGTATTTTTGTGGCGGTTCTTCTGCCACATTGAAGCTCTCGTTTATAGCAAAATTATTTCAGGCGGGCTGGGTGGGCCGGGCTGGGTGGACTGCCTTTTGGGAGGGGGAAGCGCCCGCCCACTTGCCCACTCACCTGGAGGCGCCACCCCCCCCCAACGTCTCGGTCTCCCGCAGGTGGCTTTTCGACCCGCCCGTTTGTGAGGAGCGTCCAGCGCCAGAGCTTGTCGTCCCGGTCTTCGGTCACCAGTCCCCTGGCTGTGAGCGAGAACGGCATGCGCCCTTCCTGGTCTCTCTCGGCAAAGCTGCAAATGCGCTCCAACTCGCCGTCTCGGTTTTCGGGCGACTCTCCTGTTCACAGCTCGGCCTCGACCCTGGAAAGGATCGGGGAGACCCTGGACGACAAGGTCTCCACCTCGTGCTTCGGCAGCCTGAGGAGCCTCTCCGGCAGCTACCCTGAACAGGCCGGGGGCCGGCCGGACCACCGGACCCTCGGCAGGGCTCCCCTGGCCGTCATGGAGGGTGTCCTCCGGGACGAGGCGCCTGGGCGGAAGTCGGCCTCGGGCCCCGATCCCTACGGCGGCAAGGGGGCCCCTCGGGCGGCCAAGAGCAGCGTCCCTGCGCTGGATCCTTTTGACAACAACAATCAGATCGCCTTTGTGGATCAGAGTGACTCGGTGGAAAGCTCCCCGGTCAAGGAGGGACGGAGTTTCAGCGGGGCGCCCCTCTCCCCCCCAAAGGCGGAGGGCGGTGCCCCGAAAGGTACCTCTGGGGGCCCCAGAGACGCCTCGGAGCCCGACCGGAGCCTAAGGAAAGAGAGGACAGCCCTGCCGAGTCAGGATTCTCTGACCTCTCGCCCGTCGGCGGCTTCCCCCCCGCCCTCCAAGGGTTTGCCCAAGGGGTCCCGATCCCGGAGCAGGACGGATTCCTGCCGGTCGAGCGGGAGGCACGGCTCTCCCGCAGCCCCCCGGCCAGGCAGGAAGGAGGCGGCCTCCAAGGGCCACGAGGCGGCCGGGCCCCCCTCCGGGCAGCAGAGGCAGAAGACCCTGCCCGCCTCGTCCTCCACGGCGGCCAGAAGGAACCCCTCCTCGGCCTCCTCCGGCCGCAGCCGGGCGTCGGATCGCAGCCTCAGCCGCGAGGGCTCCAGGCAGAGCCTGGGCTCGGACAAGGCGAGCGCCACCGCCAGCTCGCGCACGAGCTCTCCGCGCATCGGCCCGCCCCGAAGCGAGGGCAGGACTCCCGAGGGGAAGCACCTGCGCAGCAACTCCCTGGCCAGCCTGCGCTCGCCCACGGCCGGGTCCCGCTCCGGCCTGAAGAGGGACAGCAAGTCGGACGACAAAGGCCTGTCCTTCTTCAAGTCCGCCCTGCGGCAGAAGGAGACGCGCCGGTCAGCCGACCTGGGCAAGGCCTCCATCCTCTCCAGGAAGGCGGCCGGCGGCTCCGCCAAGAACCCGGCCGAGGAGAAGCCGGACAAAGGCAGCCCTAGGCCTCCCCCTCAGCCACAGCCGCCGCGCCCCCACCCCGGTGCCAACGCCTCCGCCAAGGAGGCCTCCCCGGCCAAGCGGCCCCTGCTCCCTGGGCGGAAATCCAGGTCTTCCCCACTGGAGGCTCCTCCGCCCTCGCCCGGCAGCGGCACGCTGGCTGCCGAGAAAGCCTCCTCGCGCAAGCCCCCCGCCAGCATGGCCTCCCCTGCACGGCCCTCCTCCAAATCCCAGTGATGCCCCCCCGACCCCCAGGCTGGCCTCCGGCTCGGCTCTCCTGTCCGTGGGCCTCTCGTGTGGGAAGATCTCTGGACGCCTGTCCAAGCGCCGTCGCTGCCTCCGTCGGACCAAATAGGAAGGAAGTCCCGGGCCCACCCCCCCGGCTGGGGCTTCTTGGGGGCCGCCAAGGGGCACGGTCCTCTCCCAGCCAGCCAGCCAGCCAGCCTGGTCCAGGGGAGCCTTTCGGGGGGGGGCGTCCCCTCTTTCCCCAGGGTTTGTGTCCGTGGCTGGTGGCTGGACTCTGTGGCCCCTCGGCTGCCTTTCAGCTCTGCAGTTCTGAGACGACC